GGATGAAATCAGTTAAATAGGACTAAGGGTTTTTATTTTTTTTCCTCCCGTACACAAATCCTTAAGCCAAGAAAATTAACTCAATGAACTTGAGCTCCTCCTTTCAACCCCTCCAACCGCTAGCCAGTTCAGTGTAAATCTGAGCACTAAATAATACACCAAATTTGGTGCAGCTTGGTTTCTATTTCATTTTTATGTGTGGAAGAATTTCAAATATACTTTTTAGCTGAAAACTAAGTCACTGTAGGGTTTGGATCCTGGGATTTTCTTCCTGGGTTGCATGAAATCAATGCTTTGAGCAATGAGATTTGGCCGTAGAAGAGGACATTCAGAAGAAACTAAACCAAACAGGATCTGGATCTGATCCTGGAACTTGGTTTCCTTGGTTCTAGGTCTGTACTAGTAAACTCTAACCTCAGATTCTTTGCCTTCTATTTAAAGTATTAATGTTTTTCAAGCATTCAGAATTCAAGAAATGGTCTGAAAGCTGTTTTTTATTCCTTTCTTGACTGCACATGCTCTTTAATGTAAAATTGTTTTTACTTCATTAAAGAAAAAAAAACCCCTTTTTAAAGGATTGTTTTTGAATTTACTTAGTATGATGAGGAACACGGAGACTTTGGCTTAGCTTAAATCAAAGGTCTCTGCAGAAGATGACAACTCTTAGAATTGGGATTGCTGGTTTGTTTTATAAGTCCATGCTTTTTCTTTGTTTCTAAATTAACTGAGGGTACAACCCTTATCTTCAAACCTGAAGTTATTCACTTTAATTGTGTCTCAGCTTTGGAACTACTGAACAGCTTTCCTACACTTAACTCTGCTTTATTCTTGATGAGCTTCACAAGTCATCCTTGATCTGTCAACCCTGCAATTGAAACTAAATTCTTTTGTTTATTCTCTTGCATTTCGAGTAGGTGCCAATAACCCTATTTCATGCTGTTAAATACAGGTGGCAAGCTTGGCAAAGCCACATCATGTATTATCTGTAAAGGGTTCTAGTTTTCTCAGTGTTCATGAAGTATAAACTCAGGTCTTATTGAAGGAGAGTTTGCCATCTGCCCCCAACCCTTCTTGTGACACTGCAAGCACTTGAACATTCGCATACTGAGACCTTGTCAGCCATAGTGTCTACTAGAGGTTCTCTGCTGCCATGTGTTTGCATCTGTAGGTTTGGTTTGATTTTTTTTTGTTGTTGTTTGGTCGTCTTTTTCCAGAACACCACCTGGTGCCACATTTGTCTAGGAGGGTCCTTGAGAGCTTTTAAAGTGTGTCTGGAAGCATCCTTTCCTTTGATTGCTCTGGTGCACTTTTTTTGCCAAGGTGCTTTTCTTGAGTCTGTAGATGCCTAGTTAGATTACGTGGTGGTTTTGCTTGTAACTCAATGAACACTGATTTACTATTGCTTTTGTTTGAGACTGGCATGCAGCTCCTTGCTGCTTCTCTTTTCCTATTGCCAGAAAGGTTCAGCTGAAGTCAGGGTAAATTGTTTTAAGCTGGCGGGACATAAATCAGGCAAGTAATATTCAGGATAAAAGGACTTGTTGGTCAGTTTAATTTTCAGAAAAATTAAAAAAGAAATGAACAATAATAACCCTTCTGTAGGAGAGGGTAGCATGCAGGTGACATTTAATGAGGCATAGAGCCGTGTTACCAGTTTCTGTGAATCTTTCGCAGGCTGGGTAGTGGCTACAGCTCTGACTTGAGTGTACTTTCTTTTGGAGAGGTAGAGGGTTACAAGGTCCTCCTAGTCCAGCTCAGGGCTATCAAGTTTCTGTGTTGCAAACAGTCTTTGGTCTTGTCAAGTTCTGTGATGGGGGAAAAAGCATCAATGAAGATGCTTTATTCTATCCTTTCGTGCCTGAGAGCAGCCTGAGGCCAAGGCCTGGGGCATATGGGCCGAGAGAAAAGATGCTCCTTTTAGGAAGCAGCAACCATGCGGTCTTCAAGACTATGAGCCAAGAAGCTTTCACTGTAATGAAGCTTGCTTGGTAGAGAAAAGAAATTGGTTTTCCTCTTCAGCTGGAGAGAAGAAAGAGCACAACCCCTGGCATACCTCTGGGCTCTCTGTTGAAATCCAGGACACAGGACAGTGATTTCTTCCCTGAAGGTACAGGGTGTATTAATTTGTAGGAGATACGTGCCCTAGCAGGGAAGGAACCAAAGGGAAATTACTCTTTGTGGCTTACTGAGAGGAAGTATGACCATGAAATGACAGAGCAGCTGCTGCCTAGCAGTCTGCTTATTGCCCATGAAACTTTGACTCCTCGCATGGGAGACAGGCGAGAGATGCACTTGGTGACCCAGAAGTGTGGATGGGGGAGTGCTCTGTTACCATAATGTGGCCTTTTCTGGCTGAGTGACCGAACAACTTAGCTTTTGCACTTGTAATGCTCAGTTGAGGATGCTTAGACTCCTCTCTGCGTTAGTGGTTTGTTGAGCATGCTAGAGTTTGAAGCCAATGTCCATTGAATGCAGTAGAGGCCTGGACTTTTGATCCAGAAATAAGACCTGAAAACTACGTGCTACGTGTGTAGCCGCCTTTTTTCCTTGTTTACCCTGCCCAGGGACACGCACCCTGCAGCCTAGCTTTAGCTGGGCATAGAGAGGAATCATGTAGTTCATCTCCCTTGCTCGATCCCTGCCAGCATCTGACAGGGCAGAGCTGTTTGCAGGAGCAGAGTCTGAACTCTGCTGTCAGCGTAAAGTGGAGCGCAGCGTGTCCTATGTTCCTGATTGGATGTAGGCTTTTGCTTGCTGCTGGAACTTGGTATAGAATACCCTGAGCTATAGACAACAGACCAGGATTATGATGGTGCTATTCTGCATCTGGTCAGTGCAGCAGAGGGTGTGTGCTGGGAATGCAGGGATTCCCCAGGCAGATTTGACAGTCGCTTTGTTTCTGTTGTTGTGACAGTTCACACACAGCTTGAGACTCGTCAGGTTTCAGTTGGCCAGAGTGCCCTAGTCACTTCTGCCTTTCTAACTAGTCCCTTAGCACCTTGAACCTGTGGCTGCACAATTCTGGAAAAAAAAGATGGGAAAGATCTTGTTTCTTCTGAAGAATAAAGTAGACTTCAAGGAGAATGCAGTTAATGGTGGGGGCAATATCAGGAAACAAATAGAATTGCTGTAGAAAGAGCCTGGACAGAGGCTGAGGAAGCAATCAAGTTAGTATCTTTCCATCTTCCCAGAAGAGATCACAAGAGGCTAAACTTAAGTTAGTACCTGCTCATGAAGTCTCTGCCTTAGCAGCTGGGCTTCAGAGCATTTCGGACTCTTATTTCCTTAAATATGTTCTAGCATAAGCATGTAGGAGTCTCAGCCAATAGCCCACATATAACTTGTAGTGCATCTCTGTCACTGTTTCATCCTTGCTTAGAAGGGTAGCTTGCAATCTTATTGTTCAGCAGAGGTGACTTCTAGTGAGCAAATGGGTACAAAACCTCCAGGGGTGATTGTGAACCAAACTGCTGTTGTGTATGAAGTGCAACTGCTTTTGGGACAGAGGACTTTACTAGATTTTCAATTTGTAACGAAGAGCAGGACGCTGTGCCCACTGGAAATTGGGGGGGGGGGTTTAAGAAGCACAGAGTAATTGTTGCATTGTAATTGGATTTCAGCTCTTAGTGTGCTGTGTAATCTCTGCTGACCAAAATCAGGTGGGCCCGTGTGGTCTAGAATAGTTTCAGCAAAAGTGGCAGCTCTAGCTTCATGTCATCTCCACATTTCTTTCCAGAGCCTCAGTTTGGAAGTGATGTGATGTGGTGAGTTAGGAGCATAGCTTCCCACAGGAACCTGTTAGGAGGGCAGGGGACAGTGGGTTGCTTGGATGAGTTCCTTAAATGTTCTTCCTCAGAAGTGCTGTTTGCCACAGATCTCTAGTGGATTTGAAGATTACACTTCCCATACTTCCCATACTAAACTAGTAGCCTGAAAAAGTGGGGGAGGGTAACTCTTTCAACAGCTTTTTCCTCCTGCCCAAAAAACCCACCTTCCTGTTCTTAGGCCTGCTGCTGTTATGTAGGTAGCTGAGCCTGATAATGACAGCAGCTAAAGGAGTCCAGGGAGGGGAAAGAGGCAGTTTTTAATCTGAGCCC